TCCCTCACTACCTCTGTCATCGTCGGAATGGTCCAATGACTTAGGCGTGACCGAAGGGGAGCTAGATCGAGCCGTACGCCGATTAAAAGCGCGAAACACAGCACCTGGTCCAGATGGTGTTCCTGGTCGGGTTTGGGTTCTGGCTTTGGATGCTCTCGGGGAACGTTTGAGGCGGTTATTTAATAGCTGCTTCCAATCAAGTGTGTTTCCCATCCCTTGGAAAGAGGCCGGTTTGGTCCTTCTGAAGAAGCAAGGCAGGCCAGCGGAATCTCCCTCTGCATATCGTCCTATCTGCCTGCTCGACGAGGTTTCCAAGCTCTTTGAAAGAGTGATTGCTGAAAGGCTCGTCGGGCACCTGTCGCAAGTTGGTCCCGACTTGTCAGAAAACCAGTACGGTTTCCGGCAGCGGCGTTCCACAGTAGACGCGATACTGCGCGTCCGTTCGCTGTCGGAACAGGCAGAATCCCGGGGTGGGGTGGCTTTGGCGATAAGCATTGATATTGTCAACGCCTTTAACTCCCTGCCCTGGAATGCAATTAGAGAGGCCCTAGTTTATCATAGGGTCCCTCCTTATTTGCAGAACATTATCGGGGCTTACTTACGCGACAGGCACATTCGCTATGTGGGCCGGGACGGTAGCGTTCAGCGGAGGAAAATTACGTGCGGGGTTCCACAAGGATCGGTATTGGGTCCTTTATTGTGGAACCTCGCTTACGACGCGGTCTTGCGTGTCGATCTTCCCACTGGCGTCCATGTTGTGTGCTATGCTGGCACAGTGGTCACGTGCCGCCGTGCAGTGCACAGAGAGGCTCTAGGAGAGACACATAGGTCTCCATAGGGAGGTGCCGTAACAGGCGTTGCACTATGAGGGCACCGGAGTTGGTCTACTAAGAGGACCCGGTGCCCCCTTCAAGTGCGGATGGTGGCCACCGGGGAGGTTTTAGTGAGGTAAAAATCCCACACTCCCTAGTCTTTTTTCCCCAAAAAGCTAGACGCCTTTAGAAGGTTTCCCCTCGTCAACAAAAAAAAAAAAAAAAAAAAGGTAACACTTGTCTAATAGTCAATCGAATTTTTCATACCAATTTGTACGTTACGTTGTAACAAATACGAATTGTTTTCCTATATTTTAAGCTGAATCATCGAAATGTAATTAGACCCTGTCACATGAGAATTGTACGAAAAAGAAGCCGAATTTTTTATGTGCCTGTAAATATTAAATCGACATCGATTTTCGAGGTATCACGTAACTTGGCGTTCGGGTTTAGTCAAAGCGTATGTGTATAAAAACAAATTCCAGTGATACAACTTATAATTGGAGCTTATAATGGTTGGAAGACTGAACTAGTGTGTTGTTGGATTTATATTCCTTTTTAATATGCGTTTTTATTTCAATAAACGATTTACTTTATGCAGGGAATTAATACTGTATGTTTTAAAGCTACGATTAGTTCAATTCTTAAAAAAATGTTTGAATGCCTCTTTTAAAAATACTTGTTTACCTTAAAAACACAACATTAATAAAATAATTGTTATATTTTTCGGCTTAATCACGTAACACATGCCACAGCGATTGTCGCGGAATGTTGTTCATGAACCCTACTGCTCTTCAAACAGTTACGTGAGTAGTAAAATATAATAATTAATTTAGTATGTGTCATTAAAATAAATACAAATAAAATACATAATACTAAAACACAACAGAATGCAGTAAATAATACCAGCAGGTCTAAACAATACCCAACGCATAGATATAATCGAGCACACCAAAGTTCCCGCCTAATTAGATTCCACAAGCTCACGGCAGAGTTCTAGGCGATTTACATGTCTACTCCCGGGAATTTGAATTTAGAACTGCGCTAGTTGGAACGGTTTTTCTATCTCCCTAAAATGGCGGCACGCGACACGACGTGGAACTCTAAATGCTTTTCCTACTTTATAGAATTTTGGGTCTCACGTAGTAAAAGATTGGCCGGGAATTATGGCTAGGGCGTGTAATGACTCTTTAGATTTCGATTTTATGTGGCTCTTGGCTTTAATGTGGTGGTTCCTATTACTATTGGGCTATCTATATTTTTTGTATGTTGTCGTACACATACGATTGTATACTGTCATACTTTTTTCAACTAGTACTATAGTAACATGCTATTCATCCATCAAAATGAGTAGCTATTTCACTACTCTGTAAAGACCTGCCGCCAAGTCAGATTACTACCTTTTTTAGTCAGAAAACGATTAAGTACACTGAATAAGGTTCAAAGTTGCCCTTGTACTGTTTTGAGTCGAACAGGAGATAATATATTTACCTGATTTTCTATCAAGATTTTCAAGATTTTAGAAACAATGAACTTTGGTAACACGATATCAGTCTTACGCGCAACTAATGGGGTATCTATCAAGTTTCAATGTCACATTTCAATCAAAAGTCAACAAATGTTTCTTTTCCAGCTTCAAGTGAAAATAATTAAGTAGGTACTTACCAGAATACTATTGATCCAGGCAATACTTTCAATAAAACAAAACTTATGTTCGGTGGTTCTCAAGTCATGTTTTATGTTACATCTTAGTCTAATTCTTTGAAGAATAATGCAGTAATTGAAAAATCATAATTGACGATAGTGCGCTATAAACAAACAACTAAACATTTGATTCTGAAATTCCTCCACATATTAATATATCGAAGCTAATAGCTTTCCAAACTGTAGAATAACTTTGAAAGGACCATCAATATTCGTCGGTTTTAATGTTTTTAGCACATAAAAGGGTTCTGGGTTGCGTATCGTGATAATATAAAAGCGTTGTTTTATTACCCGTGCCATATATTTAGAGCAATACTTTGCCTTGATGGACGATTCGATGGGTCACGGGTTTAAATAATCACAAAATTAGCGTTAGGTCTGAAATAGAGCCCAGTATTTAGTGATCACACTAGCAGCGCCTCCTATTTATATTAAAGTAAAGAAGTCATTGGTGAAATCTAAATCTAGTCCTAAGCAAATAGAAATCAAAATTTTGTGTTCTTAAATCACTGTTAAATATTAAGTAATTTTAATTCAACAAACTCAATTATTCTTTGAATCGTCCACCAAGAGCCTAAAATACATACTATATGCCATATTAACAACTTCACAATTCAGTTCTAAATCCACATGGACATTTGATGACATGAATACCACACCTCAATCAAAACATACCTTGATACTTCGTTCCCCTGAGCCTCATTACTTTGACCGTCTATTTGGACTAGTCGATTAAGGTCAATCAAATCGTAAGCGAGGACTATGCCAACAAATTAGATGCTTGAGTAAATTATAACCATGTCTGTGCAGTGTGGTCGCTCGAAGTCATTAACTATGTACGTGTATACTATAATTATATGTATGTCTGGTCGTACGGAACAATCTGATGAGCATTCTATAGTAATATTTTGGTGGTGACTTTTTTTTGAGGGGGAGAAATCATCAAATGTCTTCTCTCGCATTGGGTAAGGCACCCGCCTCCGCCTCAGCACTTAGCATATCCACTCGGCTTTATTAGTATTAAAAAAATAAAGTGATTTTTCTTATATAAACAATACACGAATGAAAACTTTTCATCTTTACCTCAATATTGTAGATATGGTAAATTTACGAGTGATCAGTGAAAAGAAAATTGAACTAAAACAAATTGCCCTATTTTAATAAACGTTGCCCCACACTAAGATCCCTCCTCCATGTATCCTATGCCGTGGGTGCGTTTACAAACATACACATAGGACACATACACATGACACCCATACTCGGAACAACAACAACAATCTATGGATCACACAAAGAGTTGTTTCAATCGAACATGCGACACGTAGCGCAGCAGCCAGTTGCCCAGCCACCCCGCCAATCGTGCAGTATTTAGACATTAACATAACAGTACTTCTTTATAATATTTAAATAGTATATGTTAAATTGTAATGTATATACATTTATATATCTACATATCAAATTATGTGTAAAAACTCACAACATTATTAAACTTTTACTCCTACAATTGTGTCTCTCTGCATCATCTTAAGGTTGGTCTTTAGAGAATGCCACTAGACATCATTGACATAGACATTGTCCGCCATTTTATATCCATTATGCAAAAAGTGTTAATAAATAAAAATTAAAACATCAAGTGATTTTGTAGTGTATAAGTAATATACATAAGTAGATAATATTCATACAATAGACGCTTCAGTTCATAACGCAAACATTTTGAAGCAAGTTCTCGTCATAATTTAGGCGGTACACGCAGGCGGTTCAAGCATTTCAAACGTAAATATATAAGTAAAACGCTTAACTTTTCATTTAGGTAATGTCTAGGCGTTTAGACGTACTAAGAAATTCAGAGTAAAATTAATTAAAATAATTTGTTAGTACACATATTAACAAACTGTGTTTATTTATTTACTGCGTAATGTCTAAGTAATAATATTTACTATTTATACAATTTATATATAAGTTTTGTTACTGAATTTTTTAAAGTAGTAAGCATATTGATGTAATTATATTTCACTAGCGACCCGCCCGGCTTCGCACGGGTGCATTATCATCTATTATACTTATGAACATTTCTTAAAAATCACTCAATCTATTAAAAAAACCGCATCAAAATCCGTTGCATAGGGACAGACAGACGGCGGATAGAGACTTTGTTTTATACTATGTAAATTGATTCATTGACTCAAAATGTTAATTTTAAAATGAAACTAGATAAATTGCTATCATAGTATTAAACGAGTTATCTTACAACTTACTTTATGTTCTTACAAGGATAACACTATTTGTATTACAGTAGTAAATAAAGGTGAAGCTATGGACGTGCTAAAAGGCAATTACCTAATAAGTGGAAATAGGAAAAGCATTAAGCAATTTTTTTTACACTTTCCATACGATAAATATCTGAATATTTATACATTACATTACATACATTTATGATGAATTAAAAAATCATTCGTTCTAATCATTTTCTTCTTTTCATTTCAGATACGAGCAAAGGTTATGGGTGGTCTCGTCACACATGCGTGGTTCATGTCTTTCGTCGAGCTTCTCTCCTTTACCGCCATAGCGGACTTTTTGGGAACATACTCTGTGGTCTACATCTATGCTGGACTAAACCTCGTTGGAGTTATCGTCAGTGTTATATTCTTGCCAGAAACTAAAGGAAAGACTTCAGAACAAATTGAAAATGATCTAGTGAAGAAAAAGTGATTTCGGTTTTATTTAGCTCGCTCCATTTGCTTTTTATTTGCGACAAAAGTAATTAAAATACCCCCTGACGGCAGATCGATCTGATATATTGTACACCCTCTTGGTCTTGATGACCATGCAATGTTATAAACTATTTTTTTTCACAATTACCTCAATGGATATCAAACAAAACGGCTTGACTGGTTGAATAGAGCTTTATATAGCATTTATCATTAAAAATATTCTTTTGGTATTACTTGTTTCGATGTTATTTAAATGTTGGCACATCCTCTCTGCGTATTGTGAATAATAATTTAAGTGTTAGACTTTAAGTTCATGTTTTAAGAAGATAGCTGTGTCTCCTTTTGACTCATTTGTGATACCTACCTAAATACTTAATGTCATTGAATATGAATTCAAGTGTGGCAGAGCCACGCTTGCCGCATGAATGGTTCGGCTCGTCCGGAGTGATACCACGGCCTCACAAAAGACCGTCGTGGAGGCCCAATTACCCCCCCCCCCCTTCCCCAATCCCTGAATCCCCAACAATCCTCAAATTCCTAATCCAGAAGGCCGGTAACGCAATTGTATCTCTGGTGTTCCAGGTTCAGTTGATCCATCTGCTCGTTTACGACTTATCTCATAAAAAAGAATATGATATTAGACCGATTTTCGAAAATGTAACACACCAATATTTCACTTTGTAGGTAGTAGTAGTATATTGAACAACTATCTATATCTGAATAGTTTATTATTCTTAAAAGTCGTACGAATAGGTTTTTTAATCTTATTATTTAAATAAAACATTAATTATGATAAAACTTCGGTTTCGAATAAAGGCCTGTGGCTATCTATACATTTAGACATTATTGTTATATCAAACTAGTATAAAATTCAAGTTAATTTATGGTTTTTCCTTTGTAAAACACTCGAGATAATTGAAAACTTACAAAGCGATGGTTAAGTGGTACTTAGTCCTGTGAGGAATTCTTGATTTTGTACTGCAAAATGAAATATTTCAATATGTTTAATATATTTCATGAAAGGAACACTCCAGATAGTACGGCGTGGATATTAAAAGATTTATTGATTCTGGCGTCTGTCAGTTGCAAATATATTAAATATTAATATGAATGTAGTATGTAACTTGGCTCGCCTACTTATCATGCATGAGGGAAAGCTACGAACGGCAAGCACTATTGTGATTTTATCCGAGTTTTGTGTACTATCTATCTTTAAGTGTGGAAGAGCCATGCTTCGGCACAAATGGGCCGGCTCGATCGGAGTGAAACCACGGCCTCACAGAAAACCGACGTGAAGCAACGCTTGCGTTGTGTTTCGTCGTGTAAGTGAGGTTACCGGAGGCCATTTACCCTCCCTTTCCCTAATCTCCCCAATTCCTGAATCCCCAACGATACTCAAACTCCTAATCCCCAAAAGGCCGGTAACGCACTTGTACCGCCTCTGGTGTGCCAGGTGTCCATGGGCGACGCCGATGGTTTACCATCAGATGATCCGTCTGCTCGTTTACCGGCTTATACCATAACAAACAATCTAAGACTATTTTGACACCACCGACAAACGGTGGAGGAAACCTTTTTTTCACCCGCCGTGAAAATTATAGAAAACCCTGTTGCACTTCTAGCAGTATACTGTGAACTTTTCTCTGATTGGGGAACTGAACTACCGTTTTTCAAACCCAAATGGCGCTAATTTAGGAAGAGGTCATTTTACTCAATTACTATACCTGCCAAAAATTAAATGACCAATGGTATGACATTACTTAATTCCCTATTGGACGAAAATACAAGATTTTCATACCAGCTCCATCTGGTGAGAAAAAGCGATAGTTCCCATTGAACCAAGTGTCATCGAAGATTTTAGTTAAAATTTGTTCCAATAAGTTTGAGTTCATATCTTTTTCAAAGTTCACAGGTCACATGTAATGTAGTATCTAGTTTATAAAACATATATTGTACTTAAAACTTGAGTTTTAAATTATTTTTTTAATTTTAAGTACCTTATTAGAACTATACAATGTAACCGGATTTGTTTTCGTGCCAAAGTCATCTAAACATCAATGAATTATATTTTTATCAGAAAGGAAAAAGTGTTGTTATGTTCAATATTTTTTTTTATTAAATAGATTTAATTTTTTTCCATATTATTGCTATATCTGTGATCCTTTTCCTTTTATCCTCATTAGGTCTCTGACACCCGAATACTGGAAGGCTGCTCAATTTTAAATCGTTCTTAAATATCGCGCCATAACATAACATAACATAACATCACGTCTTTTATCCCGAAGGGGTAGGCAGAGGTGCACATTATGTCACTGTACAATGTAACACCCACTTTTCACTATTTATGTTACGAGTACCATGTAATAGGGGGTGAGCCTATTGCCATATACCGGGCACAATTCCAGACTCCGTGCTACTACTGAGAATTTTTTAAAAACCCAGTAATACTTTGCCCGACCCGGGAATCGAACCCGAGACCCCTTGCTCGGCAGTCGCACTTGCGACCACTTGGCCAACGAGGCAGTCTCGCGTAAATATCGCGCCAACTCTGTCAATTTAGGAGTGTCTGAGTTCAGTCGCTACGCACTAAGTATAAGTAGTTACTTATACCTAGCACGACTTAAAATTAAGTGGCGTTTGTGTATTTCAGCGTACGGTTTACTATCTTGTCTAGATAAATGTACTATTATATAGTTTTAGTGAAGTCTTAGGTATGTCTGTTATTACTTGGAAACGGTTAGTATCCCTTACTTAACATCGTACACAGTAACGGCACGGACACGGCACAGCTCTTGTACGGCGTTTTTTAATTACAAACAATCCAAAAAGATTATTGTTATAATAGTTACAGCTTTTTTTATATTGACATTAAGAAATATGTCATATGACCCAAGATTTAACTTTCAAATTTAAATTACAAGTTCATTGGTGGGTCAAAGTGCTGCCGGTTAAGTGCAATACTATCAAATTACACATAAAGGTGAATATGAAGTGGAAAGTGTAACTTGTAGGGGCTATCTCTGTATGTTTTGTCACCAGATGGCACTAGTGTGAACCTCTCGTTCTTCGTCCAATAGGGAATCAGGTCGTATCCCACCATTTTTATAAACCCAGTAATACTTTGCCCGATCCGGGTTTCGAACCCAAGACTCCTTGTCTAACAGTCGCGCAATTGCGACCACTAGGCCAACGAGGCAGTCTAACTCAAACTAAATACTAATAAATAAATCCCTTTAAATAAGGTATATTAAAGTTAGGAACGTATTTGCCAAACATGTAGATGCAGAACGTAGTGTGTTTTTGAAACTTATTTATGTTACAAACGCTTATCTACTTGACTCCCCGTTAGTTTCAAAAACCTCATTTAGGAAGCTCGTTAAAAAGTCAAACATTTTCGTAATGATTCCGCATGTTGAGCTAAAAGGTATTATCTTTTTTTATATTTAACTGTTCACATAAGATGGACGAGAGGAAAGAAAACGTGTTCAAATCTTTGTTTAATTTTATTTGCAACGTATTGACCGCCAAAGAATATTGATCACAATTCTTGTAAACCATTTTTTATTATTATTATCAGAAATCAGACTGCCTCGTTGGCCGAGTGATTGCAAATACGACTATCGGGCAAGGGGTTTCGGGTTCGATTACCGGGTCGGGTAAAGTATCACTGGGTTTTTTAAAAAAAATCTCAGTAGTAGCACGGAGTCTAGAATTATGCCCGGTATGGCAATAGGCTCACTCCTCATTACATGGGAGTCATAACATAAATAGTGAAAAGTGGGTGTTACATTGTACAGTGGCATTAAGTGCCGTAATGTGCACCTTTGCCTGCTTCAGGGATAAAAAGGCTTGATTTATGTTATGTTTTGTTATTATCAGAAATATAAAAGACCATAATTTGATATTTTTGCCTCAATTCAATTGATAGATCCAATAAATGAAGATAATCCTCCTAAAGTAAATAAAAAAATATCATTTTATACGTGTATATAGTTAACCCAAAATGATGAAAGAACTCTTTTGCAAAAGATTTATATTCACTTATATATTTATTAATGCTCTTCATTTCGTAATTCAATCTCGAAAAAACTGTATAAATGAAACGAGTCTAGCGACCATTTAAATAAAATTATACCAAGACATTTAGACATAAGTCGTTCAAAGTTAAATTTAAAATTAGTTCAAAATAACACAAGTATAATTTTGCTTTTGTACTGAATGTTAGTTTAACTCTTACTGCCTTTAAGAACACTTAAACAGACAAAGAAAGTTATTTTAGTTAGTCTTATAACTTTAGGAAACAATATTCATATCAACTAACTAGTAACAAAGGATATTTTTAACAGAAAAGTTGAAACATTATTTTTTTATTTTATAAAGATAAAGGTTAATGCATATACTGTTACTGCATGTACTGTTATTTAAATAAATAAACTGTTATTTTACAATTAATATAAGTAACAGTTACAGGTGACTTAGAGAGATAACTAATTTACCGACTTCAAAAAAAAAAACGGAGGTACTATGTTCGGCTGATTGCTTTTTTTTCTTGTTTGTTCGCGCAGTACTCCGCCATTTGTGAATCGATTTCCAAAATTCTTTTTTTTTGAAAGGGTAACTCGCGAGATAGTCCCATTTCGATGAGGTCAGGATCTGATGATGGAATCCTAGGATTTTTAAACACTACAATTTGATAAGGGTCTGGAGTCGACCTGATGATGGAGCCGACAGACAGTCGAGAGAACTCCTCAGCGGTTTATACTAACTACCTTATGTTTGGGATTCATTAATTTGTATTGATGAGGACTTTACTCATAGATAGAGCGGAACTGTCATTAAGGGTCTGATGATGAAGTAGTGTAATTGTTAAGGGAACTCCTCAATATACAGTAACTACCTTGTGTTTGGGTTTGATTAATTTGTATTGATGAGGACTTTACACCTAGATAGAGTGAGACTGTCATTAAGGGTCTGATGATAAAGAAGTGTTATTGTTAAGGGAACTCTTCAACGGTTTATAGTAACTACCTTGAGTTTGGGCTTGTAGAATTTGAATTGATTAGAACTTTGCACCTATGCAGATTATAAGTGTCAAAACGGATCTATGTAGCTTTACACTGAAAATGATAAAATAATAAAATAAAAAGTGCGTTTAAAAAACCGACTTGAAAAAACCAAAAAGTAATAACAAACAAAAAGTCTAAACTAAAAAGAAAAAAATAACTATCATTTAGTAACTATCATTAGTACTGATAGGTTACCCACCCACTGAGGTTAGAAGTCGGTGCCATAAGCTCACATTATAATGATATAACTTATGGCCACAAAATTGTAAATAAGGTATCTATTAAGGTTTTAATGAATAACTTTGTATAGAAGTTATGGCGATCCATCTCTCTGTGGAGAGCAATGAAAGCCTTTTAGGGGCACGACCTTCAGAAATGAAGCAACGATCGAGAAGAGATGAGTTATATAAAATTATAAACAAGAAACCATTTCTCCCTGACAGTCAAAGACTAAACTCGAATATGTGACCAAATGGACTTCACTATAGAATGCAACGACAATAAATCTACAAACACACCGGAATCGGTTATGCATGGCATCCGCTGACTATGATAGAATTCACAGAAACCTAATCAAACTTCAAGTCTATCTTCGAACTTCGTAATAACATTCTACAATCAAAATAATAGTTCAGACTTTCAAGATGTACCTCTATATTATACTTTGGAGAAATGGGATCAATGATTTGGTAACAGCCTTTTGACCCAAAGAAAGGCCTGGTAGATTTATCGAGTTGACACCAGAGAGTTACCTCAGTCCATTATCAATCAGAATAAGTCTCATTTAAAGGGGATGTTGCTATAAAAGCGTGTGTCTAGGCAGATGACCTGGGGATCACAGTTAGATCAATAAAAGGTTAGAGGATGCTGTTATTCATCTTTCGTTAGCTGGTCACAGTTTTAATACATCCCTTGATCCGTATTTTCTTTTCACAGCAAAATGTCATCCTCAAAAAGAGGTCACATACTTTGTCACGTAAAAATATCAATTGATAAAACGGTGGCTTCGCAAAATTAACCTTTCGTGCGTTCATTATAAGCCTCAATTTATGAAATGAACCGAGATAAAATACGTGTTGACAATAACAAATGACTGGTGAGAGGGTGCCTAATGAATTTGCGTTGATTAAATGCTTAAATTAGCAAGCTCTGCTTAATTTAACACCTTCATTTTGGAAAAGAATACCCTTTGTTGGGATATCAGGTTGAAATATTCTTCTGTTCCTTTTCCAAGCTTTGTTAAAATAAATATGAAGAACGAGGTCAGCTTGTTTCGGAGGGTGAAAATATCGTAATACCTACATAGAAATTTCTATTTATATGCAAAAACAATCCAGTATGTTGTTAAAAACCTGTCAAAATGAGTAACCAATAATCATTAAGATCATGATTCGTCAAGATAATTATTACTTAGATGAAAGAGCCTATACTGATCTTAGTTCTTTATTGACATGGCTTGTTTGGTTTAATTAATAGTGATGCCATTTTTAGGGTTCATGGTCGTAAAGTGAACATCATCTATGTTAATACAAAATTTTTATAATAGATAATATTCGAAAATCTCTACGAAAGTGTTCTAAGTACTGAAATGTGGCACTACGTAAATTAAAAATAATCACCAAAACTGTTAAAATTTCTCACTACCTACTTTTAGCACCACAATTTCCGGGCGTCATAGCAATTAAATAGTACCAAACCTGTTGACCGCTCGTTGCGGGAAAATTATGTATCCAGCTTAAATTTACTAAGTATGCCAGATCTCTAGAGAAAATTAAAATATTTCAGAGTTAATCTTAAGAGGTTAGGCTAAGGTTACGTCAAACTTTTTCGGTTAAATTAAACAAGTGATATCGTGTTGACGTATTTCTTTTACTAAGAAGCGTGAAGGAAATTTTTGCGTGCTACGTCAAGTCAACTTAACTTGTAAATATTCTGATAATGATCACAGGTCATTGGCCCTTTTTTTTTTTTTTAAGGGACAAGCCCGCCACAACCTCCCAAAACCGCTGCAACTCCTGTAAGCCAGGATCTACAGTAGATACAACCATGAAAACACCGGAACACTGAAGTCCGGCGCACTTGAGGTCATTGGCCCTATAAAATACAATTTTGTATGATACAGCTGTATTTTTTCGGGTTTACGGTAACAAGAATAAAAAATTGCAATAGAATATGGAACCTCCCAATCCTCGCATCGCTTATAGAATAGAACACAAACTAAGAATCACAGCGTAATATTTTTATAGAAAATACTGCAAATCACTAACTACAGTGTGAATGAAATTCTCGATTGAACGATATGTCGATAAAGAAGAGATAGGCAGCTAGCACTTACCGCATCGTTGTTGATGAAGAAAGACAGATTGGCAGCTGGTAGCGAGTGCCGGCTGATGCACTCCACTTTTAGCTTCATACCGGGCCGGTACCGCCGTTTGAGACCGTGCATCGATGGACCCGATTTAGGTAGAACTGTAAATGGAAACATTTAGGACGAAGTTAGTAAGGACAGTAAAAAAGTAAACATACTATTACACATACTAATTTCAAGTACGAAAGCATTTTTCAATTGAGCCTTTGACACATGGTAGAATCTGTGTCGGATTTTGTTCAAAATTAGGTTGCTCATTTCTGGCATGCTTGCAAACCGACAGATGTTCAATTTTTGAGTATGATTAATATAACACTTTTAGCATTCCATTTTAGAGCATGTGCAGTACCTTAAAAATAGTCCTATAGAATTTTTATAAGTTTTAGGAAGTTTCTTAAGTGACAAACAATAATTAATTTACTTATATGAAAAGCTTGATCTCGTCATGAAGTTTAAACGTGCATTGACAATCAACTACATTATTCACCAGCCACGAGGTTCATGTTTAAAAATAGAAACGAAGTATGAATCATGTTAGATTTAACATAGATTTTACAAGGTCAAAGAGAAATTGCCAATCGAAGCGGCGAGGAGCATTTAAAATGTAGAAACGCATTTCATAAAGCCAATCTTCTTCTACAATTTGAGTGATCATGTATTGCTTGAGGCAAGGCTAATACTGTAATAATAATATCGCAACTGGTCAATACAAGTTGCGATATTATGTATGTACGTCGTTCAAGGGAGCTCATTGTCGTAGATCGTGACGTAATATCGTTGCATGGAACTTTGACAGAAAGATAGAAAGTAGGTTTTATATATTGACTCTGTATAGTTGTTGAATACAGTTAACCGTAGTGAAACATTTCACAATTATCAGAGAAAGAGATGTACTATATTATTATTATACTCAGTTCACATAATTTCGTATATTTTCTTAAGATGTTATGTCACCTGCCAAGTAAAATTTTGTGTTTTATTCGTATAAACACGAACAACGTAGTACCTAAATTGTACCTCATCAATCTAAGCTTTACTAGTACCTACAAAAATAAAGTAATAACGAATGAGTATTTCATTTTTTCTTACTTTATTATTGTGGCTTGTTGGCTCAGGCGAAATAGACTAAGTACATTTTTGTCCTATATTTTTCATACATATTTTATCCCGGTAACATAATGTAATCTGTCTTTTTAGTGTTGACACTTCTGAGATACTGGAATCTTTGAGTCTTAATGTTAGAAATGTGGTGTTGTAAAGAAATGATAAGATGTACTAACTCAACAGTCTCATTGGTCGTTGGATTATGAGACAAATAAGTACGCATTATTTTTTTATTTTATTTTATAAGCCTTCATGCACACTCTTATGAACAAGGTGGGCTTAATGCCATGGGCATTCTCCTAACCTAACTTTGTATTTCAAAACATTTAAATGTAGGTGACTGCCTCGTTGGCCGAGTGGTCGCAAGTACGACTGCCGGGCAAGGGGTTACGAGTTCGTTTCCCGGGTCGGGCAAAGTATTACCGGTTTTTTTTAAATCTCAGTAGGAGCTTGGAGTTTAGAATTGTGCCCGATATATGGCAATAGGCTTACCCCTGTTACATGGGACTCATAACATAAATAGTGAAAAATGGGTGTTACATTGTGCAGTGGCATGGTGTGCACCTCTGCCTACCCCTTCGGGGATAAAAGACGTGATGTTATGTTAAATGTAGGTAAATCCTAAATCAGCATCTTGCACTCCACAGATAAGCTTTCAAAACAGCTTGTATAATCTGCTTAAACTAGAGTTTGATGATAGTACAACATCAGTTGAAATCATAATTAACTACATATGCAAATAACTTGTGCACTCAAATGCCACTTATATATGCATTAGCACATCGTTTCTGCTAAGTACTTCTGTAAATGCAAGTACTATGCACTTGATTCCTAGAATATTATGATATGACAAACTTTGATTTGTAATCGAGATGAAACCAAGGTTATCAGTTAAGGAATGAATTAGGAAAAAGAAGTTAATAAAAAGTTTTTTTACCATGGACCTAAATTATGAGGTAGTGTGTAGTAAATATAAGTGTGAGAGAGCCATGCTTTGGCACGAATAGGCCGACTCAACCGACGTGAAGCAATGCTTGCGTTGTGTTTCGTCGCGTGAGTGAGGTTACCGGAGGCCCAGCTCCCTCTCCCCTTTCCCAATGACCCCAATCTCCAAATCCCCAACAATCCTCAAACTCCTAATTCCCAAAAGGCCGGTAATGCACTTGTAACGCTTCTGGTGTTCCAGGTGTCCATGGGCGACACCGATTGCTCACCATTATTATCATACCGCGGTTCATGATTTTGTACTTTGTGTTAAACATTACTAAATTCTTGAAACCCAATAATCTAAGAATCAAAACCGAGATTTAGATAAAAAGTCAGTAACTTATTCAAAAACTTGCAAACATCAGTCAATGTTGCGTTAAAACACGTTCCACTAAAGTACACCATACGCTAAAACAGAAAGGCATTCCCAAACAAATTACCCACGGAAACCATTAATTAAAAGCATATAAACCGCAACTAAAACTGCCATTCAAATAAATTAAATTCAACTTTAAACGGAGGCTTCACCCAGAAGTTGATAACGTACGGCTGTTTTACTAAAAAGGATCCATCTCACTCCTTTTCAAGTACAGATAATTTCCGGATTATCGTGAACGGGGTTGGATTAAAGCTTACACATAAAGTGGATATTGTTCATCGTTGATAGATGCCCATATTCCATCCTTTTATTATGCAAATAAGGTGAAGATATTTCACTGAGATAAAACGTAACAAGGGCACTATTTTAGATTTATTTGGAAAGTTAAACAAGAACACGCTGTGTATAGGGTATCACGGTCTCTTATGGGTAGACCGAGGGTAAGCACAAAAGACTGGCCTTGTTAGATAAACAATTTCAATTGTTTGTTTAGTCCAGTCAATGCTCTGCGAAACACTTTTTAAATTAAAAATTGTAAGTTATTGCCTCTATTTCCGCCATTTTTCATTCACAGCTTTATTTATGAATATTCTGCATTTCTGTATCAGATGTGGAGTTTAAATAAAAGTAGTGATAGGTACTCATGTGCATATAATTTTTAAGGTTCCATTTTAATATCTTAGTCGTACTCAAAATGAGGCATTAGACATAAACAGGCAATATTATAATCCCTAGTAGTAAAACCTGAAGTAATCACCGAAGACTGTTTTCTTGTTTTGGCGTGTCGCTGTCTATTTATTCTATTAAGGAAAAAAGTTAAAAATATTCTTTTTTTTATTAATTTTAATAGTATTAAAAATATACTCAAATAAGCCTTAATAAAGAAATATCGTACTTTCTCGCAATGGTGATGCGCATACGAGGTCGCGCGTCGTCGTTTCAGCAACTAATTCCTTACCAATAACAATGAGTTTGATGTTCCATGTAACAAACTTTTTACATAAGTTTTAATTGGTTTCAGTTTAATACTATTACGTTTTGAATAAGGAAATATTTCTTTTTATTATTTGTAGTAGTAATTGTAGTGATGGTTTTTGCTTATTTGTGTTATTAATTAGTGTTTCATTTGCAGAAGGATGCGGTTTCGAAAAAGTAGCAATGTGATTTTATTAAGCTTGAAATCGCGAATCTAACTTGAGCACGCGTGGTAGTAGTCATTCTTTTCTCGAAAAGGCATTTGTTTTTTTCTTTTTTGTAAAAGCCACTTTCCTTTTTTTCTATTTATATTACTCATTATTCACTAGTCTGTTAAAAGAGGAAAATACTCAGGAAGAAGTAAATAAAATTACTTGATAATTGAATTACTTAGGTAATTAAAAAGAGATAATTATTTTTGGTCGCAAAGAGAAGTTGTACACTGGACTTGATAGCTACAAGTCAGAGGCAGAGATCGAAAAACTGTTTTAAAAGGTAAATGATAATATAATTTTTATAATAATTATATGCTTCAATTTTGGTGGCACAGACGTACATTAAGCTGTCTTAAACAATAAATTGTTGACTTTACTGGAAAATAAAAAAAATGAAAATCCATTAAAATCATAGTTTTGGGTAGGTTGAAATAGTGTTATAATATCGCTAATATCATAACTATTTCACCTGAATAAACCGAAAATACAATACAACCCAAAAATATTTATCTATATTTTTCCTAACACTAAAACAATAAATCTATTATATAGCCGTTTTCCTCAGTTTCCTATGTGAAAATATCTTTCAGGCTATAAATAGGGTACCCTCACGTTCTGGACGCATTGCTCTGCGTAAAACAGTGTCACCCTTAAGGTACTTTACTGCCCTATAAGGCCCTTGGAGTCTGTAGTCTATAAAGTGTGTCACTTTTGAAAGGGTTGATTGGAAGACAGTTTTATCGCATTGTGTATCTAAAGGTATTTTAGGTTGTGGAGAAAGGAAAAATATTGAGTACTTTACCTTTCAGGATGGGTCCGCCACTATTTGATGATAAGGTCTAAAGGTATAGTTGACCCCTTTTCCAAGCTCTGTACTACTTATCATAGTGTTAGCCTTCTTGTTCTTAAAAGCCTTACAATGTATTATTCTATGTACTTATTTTATGTTTATGTGTTCATCATAAAATAGCATTATGTCTTTAATAGTGGGTGTATCTTGACACATTTTTTGCTCGTTATATTATTATCTTTTTACTTCCATTCCAAAAAAAAGTTAAACCTACAAACCTATTTGTTGATCGAAATACACTACATCCTTTACACATGGTTTCAACCCACATATAGTGTTCAGAATTCATAGACTCTTTGATAAAATGAAGGCAATATTACCTTGGTACCTCTATTCATATTGGTTCTTTCATTCCATCAACAAAATCCAGTACGAAAATCGTTCAAAAATGTTTACGAATACGAATTTTTAAGCTAAACAAGTGGCACGAAGCCGCGGCCTGTCGTTTAAAACTGTGAGCCATTGATTTAGTGCTTGACCCTTCACATGAACTAATCAATCGACTTTAAGGATTACTGCCGACATTGCGTGTGGCTATACCCGAGGTAAAGCGATTTACCGCTTGCCGTAATATGTGATAGGTATTTTTTTACTATTTGTTAGAAATAGTAATGTAGAAAAGACGTGGGATGGTGAGCCTATAATTTTAATATGAAATCATAAAAAGTTCCAGCTTCAAAATTCTCGGCCAAAGTATTCTACAGGAATAATGTAGGGTTCGTAAGGTACAACGACCAATTTTGTGTGAGACATATTAAATTATGTAATTATTACATTTTCCGGCTTCCTCACGTAATTATTTGATGAGGAACTCGAATAGTTTCAAGCTATGCTTGAGGCTCATATTTACAAACAAAATTCCGCGACCCACAACGCAGCGCTGCAGTCGCCGCTTGCTTGCAAGGCGTATTCGTGAGCATGACTTGATAAACTAACATACCAAGCATTTTGATTCACAAAATTTTATTCTGTACAATATAAGTATATACAGCACATAAACTGTGATAGGTGGGATTAATCTCGTTTCTGTACCGTTGGATACTAACTTACAGTGTGCAATATCCATGTGATTACGCAATTAAACTGTCAAACACCAAGCGGTCACCGGTGACCGCAACCTATTGTTCTATAATTGTGTCTACAAAACCGGTACTCGACAAGTTAATCTAGTAGTATTTATTTTCTAGTTATACTTATCCAATATTAAGAAAAAAGTGAACTCACCAACGACATACATATGCGTGTGTACTTGCGCAGTCTGAAAAGAAGGTGCGTCAGCTGACACTTCGCATGTGTATCGTCCACTCGCGGTCTGTGTCGCCGCCTGTATTGTCAGCCTCTCTGCGTCACTCGCGTCTCTCTGTGTAATGATAACAAACATTAAAATATATGGACAAAATCACTTATCAAAGAAAAAGACTTATAATAATCAATAGGTTATGAAAAAGGAGGTAAGGTCTGCTTGAGAGCTACAATATTGAAATACACACACACGTCAAGATTAGAATACTTCTCTGTTTGTGTCCTGAATTTATAAAATCTGTTTATGCATACACTGTAACATTTTAAAATCGTTAACTGTAGATATCTTAGAAAGAGTGTGTATGTTCATAACTAGCGAACAAGTAAGGCAAAATGCAAACTAAGGGCCGATTTTACGATCATCAGTTAATTTTTAACTGTAAAACAAAATTGAATTTGACAGTTTTTAGACTGGAACAATTGTCAAATATTCAAATTTATTCCTCAGTTAAAATCTATTTGGTATTGGAAAAATCGGCCCTATGATAGCTACAATTGGAAAGTTCTATTATAGTTTGAAATTTCATTATATTTAAGTCAGCCAGAAATGAAAAGTTTCTTTATATTCACTTCCATGTACACATTTCTTAATAAACATTTGTAATACCGTACCTATTATCATTACCATCACCATTATTAAGCCAACCACTTGTTCTAAACACGGTTTATTCTGTAAACACTAATCATAATCCTCCAATCTGTTACAGATTACACCTGTAGGGAAACATTATGTGAGATAATATATTATAAACTAAGCTTTGTAATCCTATGTAGTACTTAGAGGTAGATATGTGGTAGCGTAATAGGGTAAGTATTAAGTTAATGTTTAAACTTGGTTCTCATCACCAACTAAGTCTTGAATATCAAAATTTTTACTCTCTGACTTATATTATAACTTTCATGAGATATATTAAATTAATTATTGTGTTTTTCGGCTTACTCACCTAATTATTTGACGAGGAACTCGAGTAGTGTCAAGCCATGCTAGACGATCATATTCATGAGCAGCATCTGCAGCCCGCGATGCGGCAACCGCCGCATCGCGAGTCGCGGAATGCTGCTGAACTAGTCAAGTTCCACGTCAAATAATTACGTGAGCTAGACTGAAAACGTAAATGAATTATCTCACTTTTATGTGGTATTTGCCCTAGAGTACCTAACTATTAAGTACTATATTAGTTTGTTTGATTTGTGAGCACCAGATCACGAATTATTGATATTTATAATTAACGTACGGTTTTTTTTTTTAAGAGGGTAAAATCATTGAATGACTGCTCCCGCCTGGGTGAGGCGGGAGGGAGTGTCAGACTCTTATTGACTAAAAACCACCCCGTTCCTGCTCCTGCACATCGAGCCGGAGCCCCGGTTACCCGTTAGGTTCTCCGCGACCCCGAATCGGCATCGGCCCTATTGGGCCCCATCTGTGGTGGTCTGATGGCTCTTTGAGGCGCGCGCGCAACGCGACGCGCCGTACGCTCGGGTAATTAACGTACGGATACACCCCATATTTAATCGAAATATGACGTCTACAGAGATAGACAGCAATAATTGATGATTTCTGATCATACGTGTGTACTAAATTTAAGTGTGGGAGAGTCATGCTTTGGCACAAATGGGCCAGCTTGACCGAAGTGGTACCCTGGTATCACTTCGTTGTTACACGTGTAACAAAGCTTGCGTTGTGTTTCGCCGTGTGACTGAGGTTACCGGAGGCCCAATCACTCCCCCACACCTTCCCCGATCTCCCCAATTTCTGAATTACCAACGATACTCAGACACCTTATCCTCAAAGGCCAGTAACGCTGGGCGACACCGATTGCTTACCATCAGGTGATCTGTCTACTCGTTTATCGGCTTATACCATAAAAAATTATATAAATAATGAACATAACCATCGGAAATTAAGAGTTTATTTTCTGCTAATTTCTAACGAATACCCGACTGTCAAAACAAATAATATTTCATAACAATGCAACTTCAGTTCAATACTAAATGTTAAAAGAAATATCAATTCAATATTACTAATATGAAATAAATATTTCAACCATCATAGCAGACGAGACTGCTTTCAAATGCCTTCTCAACTTCAGAAAGACAAAACAAGTGATTGTGCAAATACCAACTTGAATATGTATCAGAGCATCCATATTCAATCTGGTATAACAATAGGCAATTTAGCAAATAGCTTAGGCTAAATACTGGAATACTAAACCAGACTGAATATCGTAAAACGCAGCTATGACAGATATCAAACTACATAATAATTCGTTTAATTAACTCGATTGTTTTGGTTATAACAAGCGTTTAATATTTGTGTAAGTAATAAATAAATAATAATTAACACTGAGCTCTTGGATTTAATAATTTAATAATAATAATAATTTAGCCTTTTATTCAGATCTTAAATGTTTACAATAAATTTACATCTAAAACTACAAATAACTATTCTTTCACTGAAACTACTTAAACTAATATCTGTTCCTTGGTTACCATTTCAAGATCTGTTTGCCAGTCGGCAAAGGCCTCCTCCAATCTTTTCCATTCTGTTCTTTCTAGAGCCACTCGGTTCCACATTAGCCCTCTCTGAGCTCTTGGATTTACTCATAGTATAATTAACGAATAGGTTGATAGATGACAAAACAATTGAAAGACATGAACATTAAAATTTATTAAACTTAACCGGGAACCTACTGAAAAAATTACTGGTAAAACAGTACCCTTCCTATAGTCGGGTGAAAAGAGATGTTGACAATACTTAGATGGGCTATCTCTATAAATATTATGACATTTTATATTTATAATACCATGCTAGTTTTCAACTTTTCACAATAAAGGCACAACAAGACACTACACGATAAGACAAAAAGTGGTTTAACAAAACTCAAATTTCCCCTTTGAGTTACGAAACCCCAAAATGAATTAATTTCATCAAAAAATCCCTGATTCGCCACAAACAGCCCACGTAAGGATATAAGGACCATAATAGTAACAATACATTACCTCCAAATCGTCCCTACAGGAATTTACCGACTAAGAAAAGGAAAAACGGGCGTGCCGACATACGCATAAGAACAAGCTAAATTCAACCTGTCACATGATTATGTCAGTTGAGGAAAATTCCATTTATGTCCGTGGAGACGTGACTAATAGCGAGTTCCTGCAAGCATCAGATTCGAGACGGATTATAGCTTTCATCCGATGCTGATATGGTTCTTCCGATGGCAGACGCGCCTTTTTAAATTGGAGCCGTGTGATAACCAGCTGTGCAGTAGATTTATGTATGTTTTGCTATATGTTTTTTATTTTTGATAAAGTTCAGATACAAAATATTGATCGCGGGTGTGACTAAACAGAGCAGAAGTTGACATAAGGTAGTTATTAGTCAATTAGAGACTGAGATTCCCTACAGTCATTTTGATTATATTCCATTTTTACAAAAAAAGTTTAACGTTTCGGGTTTTCTTATTTACCTCTGAGTTTTCTTTTTACTTTTTCATTCATAAATACACCTTTCGTATTTAGTAGATTCATTTAATTATATAATTTAATTTTAGAAACAAGACTACGGCTTTCAAGCAACTATCTCAACATCGCAAATTAACTAAGAAAGCAATATTTTCCGAAACATTTTTCTGCACAATTTTTACCCGTGTATTAAGTTTTAAAAAGATGTGAGATAAGACCATGAGCACGGAATTTTCAGAAAAATAGTTTGGTTTCTCCGTCGTACTAAGCCTTTGCTTATCCTTTGCACGGCAAAGGATGAATAACCGCTTCGTACGTCTGCAGTCCTGGTAACCTAATTTGAAAACGTCATTCAAGGAGATTTGCTCTAAACGATTTTGAAGAAAGATTTCATTTAAATAAATAAATTAACAAAACTCAATAGTATTGACGACAGGTTTTCCTTTGAAATTCAGGTTTATTTGCGATGCATTTTTTTCTCATTACGAATAAAACCGAGTAATGGTTGCCTACAGATGGCTACAGTTCTGGTAACGATTTTGCTAACTATAAATGATGTATCTTATTAATGAAGGATTGGCGTTTGTTACTACGGATCTCTGAAATTTACTTTTGAGCCTTTACTGCTGTAAATTACAAGACATTGGTAAAAAAACACGACGTTAAACTTTGCGCTGTAGTACTTTTTCTTCAATGCTTTGAATCAATAAAGAAGATCAGTAGTGTGTACTTGTAGATTGTTGATGTATTAGTTTTTAAGGGGGAAAATTTTCAAATGACTGCTCCCGCCTGGGTGAGGCGGAAGGGAGTGTCAGACTCTTATTGACTAAAAACCACCTCATTCCTTCTCCTGCACGTCGAGCCGGAGCTCCGATTACCCGTTAGGTTCTCCGCGACAGATTGTTGATGTATTCAATCAAGTCGTTAAAAGAATCGACCTACGTAATGTGGTTACAAGAACATGTTCAATGTTTCTAATAAAATAAATTAAACTAAGTAAATACTTCAGTCCAACAGTTTTGGAGCCATAAGCAATTCTTTAACAATAAGTCAGTGTTGCAGTAAAAACTTTTATAATCTAGTAAAGTGAAAAATAACGATAATTGTCTGCAGCAGAAAGTTTTAAAAGTCAATCGTAGGTTAAGATATAAAGTCAGTCAAACAGAACTATCAGACGTGATCTTTGTACATCTTTGTAGAACGAAACAAGTTGAGAGCAATTACGAAGTTCTAACTCAGTTCTTGCCTCCTCGTGGTCTTGAATGGTGTAAGATTAACATACATTTATTTTCTGATCGAAACGAGACCTCGGAATAGCTTCATACATATTCTTATTAGCACTATCGACATTTTAAAAATGGTTTATATGAAACACGTTGTGCTGTTTTTATAATTTTTCTAGGTTCCAAATATGAACACCTTTACATATTTGGAACCTGGACTGGTGTCCAATTTTCCCCTTTTTTGCTATAACCTTTGATAGAATTGATGGATTCCTGAATTGATGGATATATTTTTATTTGTGGAATTTTTTGGTTTCCTATAACAAAAGTTAGGTCATACACACTGGAATTTGAAATGTAATCGACGGTA